TGCGGTCAGGGCTGAGGCGACGCGCTGCCGTCGTTCGCGACCCAAGATGGCGCCTGGTTTTCCCGCGCTGCGCCGCGGCCTGGCGAGACCCTTCTGAGGGGCGGCTGGCGGCACCCGTCTGAGGGACAGGAGTTCGGGTTGCCATGGGGATAACGCGGTTCTCTTACGTTTGTGCATTGCCGTGATACTGTCAGTATTTCTGATGGCTGTTCAACCCTTTGTGATTCTTCAGGACTTGTCCTTCAGACAGTGTTGAATGTGTGTTTTATTCCACCCATAAGGATTTTCAGTCATGAATGGAAGGAAACTTGGCATTTAAAGTCTTTCAGTAGTGAGGGAAGACAGTAGCTAGAGCTTCAGCTCTTTCAGAAATAGTTTTGTGTTGTATGAAGCATGCTTGCTCCAAGGACAGCGGAGGCCTGCTCTGGCTCGTCCGGCGATGATCCCTTTGTGGAGCCTTTTCACTTTGCAGCAAAAGTAAATGAGCTGGTGGTATCAGGTTGCTACAACTTCGTACTTGTTTTTGGATGTGGGTTATCTCGCCAACCTGACTGTATCACTCGTGGCGTGTTGCTGAAATGTAATTAGGGTGTGTGGTTCCCGCTCCCTTGTCTGAGGGTGGGAAGAGGACAGTTTGCTTTCTGGCTCTGCAGAGGAGTCACCTTTCTTTCTGCTTTCTCCCCGCTCTTTGTGGGAAATGCTCAGCAGAGAGGAAAAACGTGCCACATAGCTGCAAACAGGTAACAAAATCAACCACCGGTATGACCAAATGCCTGTGGATTGAGGTTCTCCCCCAAGAATTCAAGATAGAGTAAAAGGCTCTTTGTTTCCATCTGTGCTAGCCTACTGAGGACAAAACTTCAGTAAGAATTATACTTAGGAGAAAGGGGAAAATAAATTCAATGTTAGTTTTAAGAAGGTAAGAGCCCAAAGAGTAGCTGTTCTACCTATCTGAACTCTCTAAAGAATATTTTTATATGTTCTTGCTTTAATAAACTTCTCCAAGAGGAAGAGGTAAAGCAGCACTAAGCGATGGTGGCTAAGCCCTCTGCAGAATTTTGTGTCCATGAAGACTTAGTTAATGACATAGCTTCTGAGAGCAGTTTTCAGTCAAATGTCTAAGTAGGTATTTAGAACACAGAAAACAGCTGCTATTTTAAAAATACTGTACAGAATCGTGCACAGGACTGAGAAAATTGAATGATAAAACCTTAGGACATGAAAATTAAATGCAAAAAATCTAACCAAATCCTTAGGTAAAATTACGTAGATGTATCTGGTGTTGTTTATATTGTTATTTTGGAAATATTTTGTTCAGTTATTTGTATCACTGTAGACATTCATTGTAGCTAATGCTGCTTTCTAACAGATACTGTATTTGTCACTGAACTTGCCTTAATGAGCACTGTGTTCTATAATTAATGTGTCACTGAAATATGAACATTTTGGAGGATATAGCTGCAGCTTTTCATTAGGTGAAGTGAAGAAATGGTATGGAGAAGCCATAACATTTGTGTTCCTGTATTAAATAAACTAGAGGCTTTTTTAATAAGGAAAAACTTACTATCAAGTCATTGGCCTCTTGGGAATCAAAAAAATTCTAGTTAATTTGAGAAAAATGTTACTCAGCCTAGGTGTAGGCAGTTTTAGAACAAAGATAGGAAGTTATAGAGAAGTTGAGCAATGTGGTTTTAACAAAGGCATACTAATTAGGAAGTACACTTCTGCCTGTCAGGAGCATGGCAATATAACTGCATCATGACAAAAATCAATAGATATTTATAACTTGGCTAAGCAGGTCTGCTCTTCTGTTTTCTCAAGTAGATAATATAGGCTGAATTGGCTTTTGTGGTTTGATGTATTGCTGGCTTTTTTAAAAAAAAAAAGTAAGTACTTAAGTTATGAAGATCTCTTTAAGGCACCTTTATAGATCAATGCTGATACTGCTTTCCCTTCTGCATGGGACTGGTTGTTTTGTACACACTAAAACCACAAGTTAATATTATTTCCTTAAAACATATTTTCTATGAAAGCTGGTATGGAAATAGTTTTCTGAGTAATATATAAATTGTCTTGGATATTGTTTCCTCTCAAAGAAAAATTTTGGAGAATATTAAACAAGTTATATATGCTCAGGTGTTGTCCTATTTCTTTCCGTCATTAAAATGCTTCTGTTAAGATGGGTTGTCTTTGTTCACTGGTATCCTTGTGGATATCCAGTCCTAGGCCTTTTGGCTTAACTGGTTTAAAATCTGCCTGCTGTCTTAAGGCATAATGTACCTTGATGTTCCTTTCTTTACTGGAGTCTTGAGTAGAGTACAATGGTGTCTTCTGATACCTTTTAGTAAGCCGATATGAAGCACTGAGCTCACTAAAAATGGTAAATTTACTGATAGACTGTGAAGAGATTTTTAAGGTGTATTGGTTATAGATGCTGATTTCTTTGTTCTTTCTGAAAGGAATCTGGAGTGGCAGGTTCTAATGTTTCATATACTACAATATCCATATCTCAGAAGAGGAGACTTCACAGTATCAAGTGCGGACCATCTAGTAAGTTATTGATGTTTTTATAATAAATAACTTCAATTGTTCATTATATTCTGCATCATTTAACCATTTTTGTGAAGAAAAAACCTAAAATAGCTAATACAGGTCTTCAGGGTAAGGGAGCTCTACCTTGATTGGTCTCAAAAGACTACAAGAGTATGACAATTTACCATGGCATTTGACTTAGCTTGAAGTTTACATCTGGTTTTGCTTTGTTCATTTGAAAGAGACTCTGACTGCAGTTTTTCTAACAAAGAGCTTTCAGTTGGGCAATCTGCTCTTGTAGCGTTGTACCTAGAAGTGTGGATTGCTGCCTAGATGCCATTAGATTACCTGTCCTGTATCTCTTCTGTGCTTGGAGGTTTTTTGTTTGTCACTTTTTTGCTGAGGTAATCTGTGGATGCTTTTTGTATATAATCTTTGGGTTAGCAGGATGAAGTACTTTTAGCCACCAGCTTGCAGTGGTGGTAATTTGCTTGAGGAATTTGCATCCTGGCTTTTTTTGTTTGCCTTTTTTTTTCATGTTCTGCTTCAGGTCAGACAGCTAGAAAAAGACATTTTAAGATGGATCGTGATATTTTACTGGAACTCTTGAAAAAGTTTTGTGTGAAAGTTTATTGCTTCTTAAACAGGTCTAATATTTAAGAAAGGGAAGAGCAAATCTAGAAGGAGGGAGAATTAAATGGGTAGCAAGTATCTCATGCTAACTCATGCCATGTCTAAGCTTTAAAGGAGGATGTAGTTTTGATGGGAAGAACTAGGTTTCATTGCCCTCTGCAGATGTTATAAGGTAAACTTCCTGGTTTCTTTCTAACTCAAGTTTCTATGGGACAAAGATATTTCATAAGGACTTTCCATTTCTGATGTACTTGCTTTGGCAAGACAACGTTGTTGGAGACATGCTTTGAAAATTATTGGTGATTGCCCATTCTTTAAGTCAAATAAAATCAAGATTATTAACCTCCTTAAACAGTGGGATATCTAGACTTGGAAGTTTTCTTTTTAAATCTTAGTAAACTCTGTGTGGGAAAGGGAATCCATTGTTGTCTGTGTGCAAGTGACATATTAAAACTAAAGCAAAAGAGCAACCCGATCTGCTTTGTGCAAGAGTTTCAGTAACACGCTATAAATGCTTAGAACAATAGGTTGGTTTTGGCCCTGCTTATTTGAAGAGAGATGCAAGGTGCCATAGTTGTGCCCGTGGACAGGGATTTGCACCAATCTGTGGATATATGAAATAAAGATTTTTTTTTTTAAACAATCAAGGTAAGTTATTAGCTTCTTTCTCCTGTTTAGTGATGTCTATGGAAATTATTCTGCGACATGCTTAGAAAGCTGTGGTTACAACAGACATATTTCATCCTATTACAGACAATTTTTGTTGCAATAACATTTTTTTCTTGCTTTCTATAGCTCTGTATTTATAAATAAACCAACATGTTTTGTGTGGAATTTTTGTATGATGGGGGGTGATTAATTGTGCAATAGATCTCTTTACCTTTGTGTTGTATTGGTCAACTGAAAGCAGTTTAGAAAGTGATGTAATGTCTTTCCTGTCAATGTAACAAAAAAGCTGGTATAGTACAAGTAAATGCCAAGAGATTTGCAAATTCTTGTGTTGAGTTTCTTGTTCTATGGGAAGATGGGATTTGAGTTTTAAAATGTGTATCAGAATAGTTGGCAGCAGTTAACATGTAGTTTACATAGCTGTTAAACTCATAACTTCCTCCCACACAAATCTGTTTTTCATGCAACCTTAAAAAATAACAAAACAACCAAAAACCCAAACAAAAAAACTTCAGAGCTAATGCATATTAAGAACCTGGGACAGGCAAAACATTTTTTTTTCCTGGAAGTAAGTTTCCGACTACTGGTGAAAATTCTTAACAGTTTAGACACTTCAGATTTTCTTGTGTTGAAATACTGTAGCAGGCATGAGTCTTCAAAGTCACTGTTACTATAGAAGATATTGTCCCTTACAGTATGGGTGCTGATTTCAAGAGATGCACCAGAGCAGAGAATCTGTTGCTATCTGGAAGACTCTTAGTATTGAAGGATTAAAATTACATCCTACTCATTCACCTCAGAATCTCAAAAAGGGAAGTTTTACATCTTGATGTAATGAGATCTTTGTCCTCCTTTCAAGGCTGTATTACCTACTGTTGAAGCCTGTATGCCACAGAAAACTTCTGCCATTACAGGCAAATGCTTTCAAAGACTATGAAGCTGAAGGATAAAAGATAATGCAATAAATATTTGTTGCATTAGTCTTTCCACAATCAAAACGACGCCTGAAAATTTTCTAGAGGATGTATGCAATGGGTATTATGTGGAGTTACAAAATCAAAAATTTCAAGAATGGTGACTGCAAAAGTTTAAATATTGAATTTTAAGCATACTTTGTACTCTTCTGTGCATGGCTGTAAGTCTGCTTGATGTTTCTTGCAAATTCTTATCCCAAACTGCTTTGTTTTTTCACTTTTCAATTTCAGAATAAAATTTGATTTTTAAATAATTAATCTTCGTAGTAGTTTTATAACCTTCAGGCAGACCTCTTTTCTACACTTGCATAAACCTTTTAAAATGTGTCATCTTTTAAAGAATCCTGAAAACCGTGAAGTCTTTGTCTATTTCTGCAAATGACGCTGGAGCTCTGAAAGTGTTTGGGCCAAAGCTGATAAAGAGGCAGAATCACAGAACTGAAGGAACAGGCTTGACCTTGTACCTACCTACCTGGAGTAAAACTTGATCACTTTCGGATCTCTAATCTTCTGTGCTTCAGGTTTTCTGTCCAAGTGAATCTAATAATTAATATCCTGAAGGGAAACTGGTCTTCAGTGATTTGCATTGATCAAATTTTTCATGCCATGTCTTAAAAAACACTAACAAAATACAGAATTCCAACACTAGAAACTGCTTAATGTTTTACAGAAAAATACCCATAGAAAGGTCCACATCAGTCACAAATATTCAAGAATTAATAGTGTATTGATGGTAATGGTGTCTTACAGTGAGGTCAAAATTCAGTTGAAGAAACTGGAAAGATGTGATGGTTAAAACAAGAATCAAGTTGATGTGCATGGTAATTTGAGTAGACAGACATGTTCTTGAATGTGTTGGCTTGCTTTTACTTTTGAGAAAAAACTTTTAATTTAGATGAGCCTTGATTTAGTATCTCTTGTATGGGATACACATACAAGCTTTCTTTGCAGTTAGCTCTTCGTGCTCTAAGAGTAGAGCTGTTCTTTAGTGACTCTACCTCACTTCATGCTGAAGGGCTTCATATTATACAAATTACTTTCAGCTATTCATATTTTATTCCTAATAAACATGTAAGAAGCTCAGAAGAACAAATAATGGGTGAGCAAACTTGGACAAATAGTTGATTTGCAACTGAAATAAGTTCAAGTACTTAAGTACTCATTAGAGAAGGAGTAACGTAAGAAAGCATAATAAACTAAGTGGGCACAATATCATAGATGCAAACCCACAACATATATTGAATCTATAATAATATTTCAAACTAAAAGCTTATTTTGATGAAGATGCAAGATACCTTGGAGCAGTTACCTTATGCAATTGGCAGAACTTGTGCTTGGAGCCCCGGTTGAAGAATGTTTGAAACACCAGCCAGGGTTGGGTGGGACTGTGTATTTAAAAATAGATTTTGAAACTTCTACTTGTCAGGTCTACATGATGCTGTTACAGCATCTCTCTTCAGAGAGCAACACCAGTAGTCACATCTGTGAAGTTTGTGCACTAATCTCTAGAAACGCATGCAGTGCAAACAGGCTGGATTATAGTCTCACTTTTTTCAAAGGCCATGATAAATAATGCTTATGAGGTTCTGTTATTGCTTATAGGGTGCCAGCTCTGGCCTGAAAACTCTTGCTGCCTGACACTGAAGAATTAAGAAGGGGGCTGAACTAAACAGAGGTCCAGGTGCCCAAGGGACTAAAATAACCTTGTCTGCATATTGGGTAGGGTTGCAGTCTATTCAGCAATTACCAGATGGTTAGTGTGTTTAAACAATGAGAAGAGCAGAGAATTCAGACCTGTGTTATAAGATGATCTCGAGTCTTCACCCTGTTCAGTAAAGAAGGAAAAGAAGGAATTTGAGACAAGTTGCTTCACAGCAACAATGGTCATATTATCAGAATGACCCCCAGGTTCTAATGGCATGGGTTAGAAATCACATTACTTATGCAAGTAGAGTCATTTTAGGCCTACCACTTTCTGCTAGAAAAGTCTCACTGTTTTCAATTTCAGATTCCAACCCACTGCATTCAACTGGCGTAAGGTCAAAGGAAAAAGAGGCGCTAAGGACTTGTTAATAGAGGTCACTTTCAGGTGTATGAAGGACACAATGTTCTTCCATAACCTTTCCTAATTTTAGCCTTTGCTTAGTCTTGATGTTTATTCCCTTTCTGCAGGTGTTACAATGTTTCTCATGTCCCTAGGAGAGACCTAAGCTTGTGATATGGTTGTATGGGTTAGCTTATTTAGGGAGCCCTTTGTTATAGGATGCTTATTCTGGATACTGGAGGGAGTATTTCTGTCTTAATTGAGCAGAACTGGATGGTTAAAGGAGGACACACTGTTTATACCAAGTGTGACCTGAATCAACACCGTATTCCTCTTATTACCTGGTTAAGGGTAACTAATCTTTGCACACAGAGCTCTTCTACACAGTGTAATGAGAGATACTACAGTGATGTAAAAAAGGATATAAGCAAGTGCAAGAGCTATGTTTATCGTGTTTTCTTAGAATCATATGTGCACAGACAGAAGAGAACTTCAAAAAGAGGGAAAGGCTCATCACTGAGTCATTTGACTTCCGATTCAGATTTGAGTAACTCCCTTTCTCTCTAAAAGGGAGCAAAGGAGACACTTCCCAGTGATAGCAAGGGTCCCCAGATCAGCCGATTATGTGCACAATCTGAATAAACGTGGCTTGAAGCAGGTTACCTGAGCCATGCTTAAAGGGGAATCATTCAACCCGAAACATCAAAAGGGGTATAACTTCCTCTGCTGCTAAGAGGAACATGACTTGCAATCTAATTGCGTGTTATTGTAACTGGAAAGGCAATAGTGCATAATGTTAGAGAAGCAAAGAACAGAGACCCGAGCTCTGATTACACAGGTCTCACAACACTCGAGAGAGATCAATGCCTGCCTCTCTTGACAAGAGGAATAAGGCTTTTGCATTAATGACAGGACTGGTCACTGTAAGTATGTAAATGAGATGGCTCAGTCAGAATAAGTAGGGAACTTTCTACATGGTGCTTGCATTAGTTTTTAAATTGAATTCATGCTGGCCAGGCGGGGGAAGGAGCTACATATTTGGGTTAGCTATGCAAAGGAGCATTCTCTTTGTCTACCTGCCTTGTTCTTTTCAGCATGGTGTTTTTTTTTTTTGTTTTTTTTTTTTTTTTTTTTTTTTTGGGGGGGGGTGGGTGGGTGGTGTGTGTTGAAAACAAAGGAATCAAAATTAATTGCTTGGATATATTAAAAATCTTCATATAAGTAATTAGTATTTATAATGTTTTTGCAAATGGAAAGGGCCATATAAACACCAATAAACTGTACTGACAAATTTTGGCAGAACTCAGTAAGGAAGGGTTCTGTAAACTTGTAATTGAAGAGAATACTTTGTAAAATCACGTGGCCTAAACTAGATGAACATGTGAGGTCTTTTTTAATTATGGTATGCTGTAAGTTTTTGGATTCTTCCTCATTCTAGCATTATAGCCAGCTGTGAGCACAGAGCCTCTTTCTTCTAAGTTTCTAGGATCTCACAAAGTAGAAGGAACTTAAAATACAGCCTTTTTCCATTGATCACACATTGTTAAAACAGCTGGTTATGATGTTTGAGGCAGCCTCACAAAAAGCAAAGTCTAACAGCATTCAATCCATGAGTTCTGACAAGAGTTTGCATGTGAGTTAAGTGTTGGATGCACAGGTACTTGGTGTGTATATCTGAAAGCGATTTGTGTGTGGTAGATACATTTGCAAACCAGGTGATGTTTTTAAGAGGCATTGGGAAGTCTTGCTGAAGCAGGGGTTTAAAAGGAAGCTGGAGAATGTAGCATCTCGTTAAAAATGCTGTTTCTGATTGTTACCTGAGTTTTAGTTGCTTTTGGCTGGGTTACACTCACAAGATATTGTCCATGTGCAGCTTGCTTTTGGATTATTTTAGTGTATTTAAAGGTCTTACTAAGAGGTTAGGGCTTACTGGCTTCTGTAATGGTGCTTCTGTTGATGTTCTCTGCTGGCAAAGCAATGTATGTTCTATAAAATATATTGGTAGGAAATTGGTATTGGTGAAACATCAATAAAATGAGTGTCTTCTGGGAGAGGGGAGCAAAATAGGGAGAGAACACTCTTTGAAATGGATCTATTTTTCTGTTGCCGTTGCTGGATTCAAGAATTTGGTATCCATTTAATGGCAGTAGGATGTCAATGATCAACTCTTGACTTGTTAGAAAGCATTTGTTTCCTTGCAGTCAGTTTATGAATAAAACATCTCAACCATTTTGTAAAGTAGTTCAGAATCTACTTTTGTTGTTGGTGCTTTTCATGTATGTTTAGCTAATGTCAGTAGTGAGAATGAAACCTAAAGGTGGTGTGACCCATGAAATCATAAACCTGTGGTCCATATCCTGGAGGGCTTTCTGCTGAAGTCTAATGCTGCCAAGACTAAATCAATTGTAGAAATTATTTGGATTGTCAGAAGTGGAGCTTGCTTTATTTTGCCTGCTTCAGCGAAGCTTCAAACCCTCTTAGCAAAGCTTTCTCGAAAGCCTGAAAGTAATCTATGTATGTTAGGACTTCTATGTATACTACTGATGATTAGGTATTTTCTAAGTGTGGGTTTTACTGAAGTGGGAGAAAATATCTTCCTCTGTGAATTCTGGTTTTCAGTATAGCGCTTAAAAAATTTATATAACAGATTATTTTTCAAGAATGATGTGTTTATAAAGATAACGAAAATAGAACGGTTGAGTCTTCAGTTTGTGTCTTTCTGAAATAGTTTCATCTGAGCAACTTGTCTGCTTGTCTGTAACAATCTCAGTGTCTGTTCTCCAAACAAAAAAATTACTATAACTGCGTAATACTCAATTATTAAAATTCAAGTGCTTTCCGGAAGAGACTTAAACTTTAAAAGAGCAAATATTAGCAAAATAAGTGAATATATCACAATTGTTAGAAAAACATTTAGTCAACTAAATCTAAACTTAGTAGTAAGAAGCTTTTTTTGTGCTTGTTCACATCTTTCCTTAGACTGTGGAAACTTGTTTTGTCAGATTTTGATGGGGATTTTCCCAGGGAAAATAAAAAGTAAAATAACCGAAACACTTCTCTCTCCCCCAGACCCAAACCTGTCATTGCAAGTTAAGGAGCTTGCCTTTGCTTTCTTTACAGTAGGCTTACTATACTGAAGCATGAAGTTTTTCCATTAGTGTGTCACTAATAAAGTTAGAAACAAGCAGTGGTCTGTGTCTTTATGGAGAGTGTTTGTGGTTGGTATATCTAGAAGTTGTGAGATGGAAGGAGGGTGGGCAGCTCAAAGATTTACAGCTGGGATCTCAATATTTGTATTTCTAGGGTAGTATGCTCTCATCCTGGTAGAGCTTATCCATACAGTCTAGTTTGTAGCATTCTTTTACATAGGGATGTAGGCACTGTCCTTTTTAGTTGTGTAATACTTGTTCACTTCCTCTCTTCGTTGCTTAGGGGACTAAGAACAGGTCAGGCTTACAGGTGTCACAGCCATTTTGATTTGGCTTCCCTAAATGTGCAATAGATTTGCTTCATATGGTTGTATTTCTTGAAGTGAAGCTTTTACATTATGTTTCCTGTTTGTGGGGGCCTGTGGGATTCTCCTGGACATTTAGATGCTAAGCCAGCATCTCCTGTCATTCATGAAGTTACATTTGGTGACAGAACTGGGTCTCAAGAATGAAAATAATGATAATTTATTTTTAATATGCCTTGGTTTTTTCCACTCAGATTCATTTACATGTTTTAATGGAGGTGAGTGTGCCTACAGAGAGCTGTGCAACTGCAGTCGATTTAATGCAACTGGACCAAGATGCCAGACAGGTGTGTAAAGAGAGAAAACTGGGTTTCTGGGATTGTACTTGCGTTCCCACAGCTACAAGTACCCTCTGCCTAAAGGTTCCTTCATGCCCTAGTATTTTTCCCCTCTCTTTTCTGTTGTGATACTTTGTAGCATACCACTTACATACATGTCAACTACAGATTGAATCCCAAAACCAGTGGTACTTCTCAAGTGACTCTCCTTTTATTAGTGTATAATACAGGTGCTGAAAGAGATCATATATGCAGAACATGGGGTCAATATAATTTTGAAACTTTCGATGGACTCTATTATTATTTTTCTGGGAAATCCACATATGCACTTGTGAGACATACTGAATTAGATGAACAGAGTTTTTCCATACAGGTAGGGGACTGCACTTCTACGTTCCTTTTATCTGTTGTTGTGCTTGCTAATAATGCATTAATATTTAGAGATTAAAAATAATTTAGGATTATAGTATGGCATTGTAGAATGTAATCTAGATGTAATTCTAACGTTAAGTGGGCTACCAGTTACTATAGCACAAAATGTAAATAGCTAGAAGGAAACTGATGTGCGTACTTTCAAAACCTGCTGCTGCTGTGAAGAGGCTGCTCTGAAAGAGTGCTAATTGTACTCAGGCTTTTGGAGAAGGGTGGGACCAAACTACCTGTTCATATGCTGAGGGTGGGATTGAGAGTATTAGTTGTATAATATGGATTACAAAGAGTTTGATTAAAATCCTGACTTTGATGGTACTCATTTTATTTGGCAGGTGAATAATGATCCTGAATGCCATTCTTCTCCGTACTCCTGCAAAAGGTCCATTAGTTTGTTCTTTTCTGGAGGTGAACAGATAAAGATGAGCAGTGAAGTCACCTATAAAGGATTTGGGTAATTGTGCTCATGTTTTTGATGCTGTAGTCACAGTGGAACTAGTCTCATGGTACTGATTTGATAACAGAGATGTAAACTAGTTCACTTATTTGTTGGTAGCTTAAAAAAAAACCTATCCAGACCACAGCTGCAATGATTACTCCCCGTCTACATACTAGTGTCCGAGGAAGGTCATATCTAAGTGAGGTGGTACGTAGTGTTAAGAAGCATAACTGTTGACATTGGTCCTTTAATTTTTGTTCTTATTTGCAACTTAATCTTTTTTAGTGGAATTACTCAATATTTATATCAGGGGTTCTCAAATGTATGAGGAAGTCATTAAATCAGCAAGTAATTTATTTTTAATAGTGATAATTTCTCATGTACAGTTGTCTTTGATTCTGTCTCATTTCTCAGAGTACAGTTACCTTATAGTATTGGAAACTTACACATCCAGAAACTAGCTGGATACTTCCTAGTCAGACACCAGTATGCCTTTACTCTGGCTTGGGATGGTACGTCTGCAGTATATATCAAAATGGCACCAGAGTACCTGGGCAAAACACATGGACTGTGTGGAAACAATAATGCTATCCTGCAGGATGATCTTGAAACTAGTTATGGTGAGTGTTTAAAATCCTTCCTTTGGTGTTAAACAAGGTTTTTTTCCAAGAAACTAAAGGTTACTTTGCTTAGTTTTTACTTGTAACTGAATATACAATGGACAATTTCTGAAAAGTAAAATATGATATGGAAATACTTCTGGTAGATGATAGTGTTAGTGAAAAGGGCCAATCTCAATACAGATGGGGCTCTGGGGAGGAAGATCTTCAAAAAGCATGACAAAAAACTGTCTTACTCCATTACCTACAATGGTATTTGTGCATCAGTTTCCTAGGACTTGAAATGTAAAATCTACTTTTAAATGTTTACTGCCCTCTTAGCAATTTTATATAGGAGCCTGTGGAAGCCTGAGGTACTGCTATTGGAAATAAATCAATAATCTTAATTAGTAAATCAAATTTATGAAGACTGCCAAGTCTCGTTTGATCTGGTTCTTCATTTAAGCTGACACTTTCAGAACTGACTAGTGATCCTTGAATACCAACTTCAGATACTTCAAAGAGTCTTAGCTTTCAGTAAATACTGAGTGAAGACCTCTATTAAATAAAAAGAACCAGGGGAAAAAAATCAGGGCCCTTGAAAGGTATGTCAAGTTAGGTCACAAAAGCTTCTGGAACTAGTTGCTTTGGGCTGTTTAATGCTTTGCTCTTCTTCTTTAAAGTTAGGGTATTTCTGTAGGGTGCTATTTAAAACTCAGAATACAATATATAGTAGGTTTCCTCAGTTATTTAAGCGTGCCACTCAATTTTAGAAAGCATCAGCCCTGCACTAATATCAGCTCTCACCCCATTGAATATTTTGTTCGCTAAATCAAAATGCTTAAAATAATACCAAGATCAATAAATAGCACATTGTCTTCATTGCCTTCAGAGGCTTTCCTTTACCCTCTCACCTTTCTGAGGATATCTCGCTCACATAAATTTGTGATTGTAGCACAAGTCAATACATTGCATACTAGCTTTATCCGATTAGCTTGGGGAGCAGTAGTAATAAAGATACGGCAAGATACGCATTTGTGGGTAATCCAAGTAGTAATCATGTCACCACTTGTCTATGATGGATGATATCTTTCTTAGCTAGTTTAAAGCTAGCATGGACATTTCTACTTATGCAAAAAGTTACACTTTTACTTGATTAACGTATGCAATCATTTTGTACCCTTGTGGTGACCCAGGAACTTGGGTTTTAGACTCTCTGGGAGTTGCATATAAAGTAACAGCATGTATGTATGTATATACAGTTTATTACAGCTTTTCTTTCCTTTCTTCCATTCAAGGACTGCAGCAGGCAGTCCTGCTCCCTAAAGCCCTTCCTTGCTAAATTGTATGAGTAAGCTTCTTCCTGCCATTCTAAAGCCTTCCTACACTAGTCCCTCTTACTGGTATTTTTATTTCTTAAAAGGACCAGATTGTCTTCAGACAAACAGAATTTAATTATAGGAAGGGTTTGGTGCTCTCTGCTTAATGCGATGTTTTGATTATTGAGATGTTTCCTGGGAAATCCTATAGGAACGTTGTTGTTCTTCCAGATCACTGTGTGACTCTATATGTGTCTTGTTTAGGAAAACTGACAGATGATGTGACAGAATTCGTAGAGAGTTGGCAGGAAAATCCACCACAAGGAGCATCCCATTGGGATAAATCTCTTCTCAGTGAACCGCCCTGCCTGACACAAAGCCATGAATCTCTACAGGTTTGGATCAACACAAAGGGATTATTACAATGGTTGATGATTCTAATTAGAGCGAGAATTTGACTTAATGGTTTGAAGGAGACTGGAAATATCCTTAGCTCTTCTTTGGAGAGGTGGATTAAAATGGTTGCTGCAGCAGAGCTTCTCTTTTCCCTTCCTTCCCCCCCCCACTTTTCTTCTGTATGAGTATATAGTTTAGTTGTTTTCAAATGTTATATTGTCTGCATAGCAGCCAATAGAAGTGTTTGAATCTGGGGCTGAGTGAAAAGTTGTAAAGCAGGGTTGCGTTCTAGAGCTGGTTCTCATTCCTTCCCTTAGGAAGGATAGAAGGAAGCAGGCTGACAAAACCAGAATGAGTACACAGTTAATTTGACAGTGTTTGAAAAATGAATTATTGTTACTTTTGTCCATCACATTGAAGTAGTTTTTCCTTTTTAAGTAAAATTTTCAAGATACAATCCTGAAGTGAAGTGCTTTGAAACTAAAGCTGATGCCAGGCATGGTTCATTTCTGTTGCCTTTCACTGTGTAGTTTAACTAAAATGAAGACTATTTCAGGTCGTCAGGGCTTAGCTGCAGCATGGTCTATGCCCTTCTTGAGGAAAGGATATGTTTTACTACCATTGGTATGACCTTGGATTAAATATTCAATGTTATGAATACTCTGGCATGGAGAGCAATATCTTGCTAGCCACTGCTTCTAGTTGATGAGGAGAAAGTGATTCCTAGTCACAGACTGAGATGTCTGTTCTGATTTTCCATAGTATTCTATACTGCTTAGGTTTATTTTTGGAAACCTCTTCACAACAGCTCTCATTCATTTCAGAGGGCATATACTCTGTGTAATATCCTGTTACATCCCCCGTTTGAACAATGTCACGAGTATGTGAGTCCTCTTCCTTTTATGGCAAGCTGCACCAATGATCTTTGCATGTAAGTGAATGTTTTTTGGGTAATTCCAAAGCTGTTATAAAAAACTTTGTCTTTCTATCATGAGAATGAATTGTAGATGTTAACAGAACTACTGTGTGTCTTTCTGCATATCAGTTTTTATCTAACATTCTTTTATTATATTGCTTTTCTCACTTGTTCTAGTTTTACTGCCAGAAATTTCTGTGGAGTTGTTCCTGTTTTCTTTGGTATGAGGATGACCAAAATCAGGCCCAGAAATTTTAATAATTTGTTAGTGGACCTTCCCTTGAATAAGGAATCAGTTTTGATACTGAGTGTGCAACCTCATTAATATTGCTAGCCCTAATGAAAACTAATAGTAAATAGGTCAGTTTGGCATCCACAAGCCATGTATGTTAATTCAGTGAAAAGAGGAATTTGATTACTATTTGAATTTATGCTATCATTTCACAACCTGCTATGTTCCTTGTCCAAGCAATTTTGACTAATTAGCTTAACAGGCAGGACACAGAAGATAATTTCCATTTCTTGTACCATAGTGATTCACTGGTGGAAATCTTACACTTTCTTCTTGTGAGTTTTCTGAAGTTATTCCTTTTGTATAAATCAAGACCTTTATCCAAGTCTGCTTATACTGCTGTATCTCTGGCTTTCATGGACTTATTTAGGAAATTAGTGTAATGTCTCAAATATATTGATGACCTGTCTTTAAGTGTGGCAGAATGTCTTATCCATTTAAGATTTTTAACCTAGCTAAACAGCACAGTACTTCAGAACATTATTAAAGCAGATTCAAACAACATGGTTGTATGCAGTGCAAGAGCGTTCACAAGGTTGTAATTGCATGTTTAAATGTAGGTAGAAAATAATATGTCAATTTTTATTTGTGTAAGGTCAGCAGTTGATAATGCAACTTGGTGTCGAGCGTTAACTGAATATGCCAGAGCATGTGCCCAAGCAGGAAAGCCGCTTCATGGATGGCGAATGCACTTTGAACAGTGTGGTATGCAGATGCTTTCGTACTTGGAAATACTGCTTAGTAATTGTATTTTGAAAAGAGTGCTCTTCGTGCTTCTACTTCTTTGTCCTTCCTCCTATTTTGAACTGGTATAGTTCTTAATGAAGGCATAGCTATGGACTCACTTCAAGGCTACATAAATGCAATGGAATTTCTTTTTTATATGTGTAATTTGTACTGAATTTATTTAAAGCACTAAGCTTATTAGAATGTGTTTTAAGAACCTTCTTACTAAAACATGAGAGATTAAGATGATTAACTGTTTGTTTTTTCATAGAGCTACTCTTTCAAATATTATCAAAGTCTTCATTGGCTTTCTGATATATAAAACGTGTGTCATGAATGTTAAAAATAAATCTGAATTACGCTTGTATAAGTCTTAAAAGTCACAGAAAGTAAGTTTGAAAGAGATGGTCTAATTTGTCCGTCTGTCTCGAACACTGGACCGAAACTGCTTTGTCATTGATGACAGAAGGTTTCTCCCGTTTTTTCCAAAAATGTTTGTTAACGGATATTCTACCAGTTCCTATGCTGGTTTGAGTATCTAAAAGCCCTGCTGTGAGAAAGTTTCCTGAGTCTCCCTTTGTATAATTTAAGATTATTCCTTCTCAATGCACCTTTAATGGACAGAATATGAATGTATGTATATTCTCTGTGTGTGTCTTATGAAAGCCATTGTCTCATTGTTCTAGACAGCAGATACTCAATGGACTTATCATAAAGTAAATACCTGAAAGAAAGATATTATTTAATGTCTATTTAAGCCCTGAGGCAGTAGCACAATACCTTTTAATTTCTCTACCTGTTTCTATTTTTCAGTGATTACCTGTGCTGAACCCTTGACCTACAATGAATGTATCAACTGTTGCCCAATTTCATGTCATCAGCAATCACAGTGCATTGGCAGCGAGCTTCCCTGCATTGATGGATGCTACTGTCCAGATGGTAAGTTTTGCTTCTCAAATACATAGTGTTTGATTCCATATAACTTTGAGATTGTTCTCCCACAAGTTTACATATCTATGTGGCCTGGTTAGATTAAGGCATTCACAAGAGCTCTTATAAATGCCGTGCCAACTGAATGTGGATGAATGACCTTGTTTTTGTCATAACTGACAGAACCTTTTCCTCCCTCTAACAAGGCGGGAATAGGTTTCAGCACAAATCCACATTCTCGCAGTAGAGCTCCACAATTTAAGTGAAAAATGGGCTTTGCTCTGTTGTTGACAGAGCAGCCATCCCCCTCATTCTGGTGGTTGCTGCTTATTTCGGGAGGGGGGGGGATGAGGGAAGGGCATGTTATTTTGGTGCGTTGGAGTTTTTGTTTTGGTTTGGATATCTTGGTTTTTTGTCTCAAAACTGTGACGTGACTAAAACTAACTCATGTGGCCAGAAACGCATTTTGTTACTGAGATTCTTGAACTCTCTATGGTTCTGGCAAGTGAGGTATTTACCAGTGTGGCCTATAGCAAAACTTAACCCTTATTATCAAAATGTACTTTGATGTCCAGTTTTGCCCTTGTTACTGGCTTTTCTTGGGTACATAATTTTGTCTGAAAGAAGACAGAGGAAAGTTAGGCCACAGATCTTCAAGTCCTGCCTCTTATATGTATTCTGGTGATTTATAAGTACAATTATGTTTGTTGTCCATTTTATCTTTTATGGGCTAGTAAAGTCTTCTAGCTTCTGGCTCTCTAATAATGGAATAATAATTTTTTTAAAAGGCAAAAAAAACATTATAGTAAAATAAGGGCCAAATAGTGCCTTAAAACATGGATGCAAAGATTTGTAAAGGTGTCAAAAAAGAAGGCAAAGGTATTCAAAGTAGCATGGTTTGGTGTTTGAGTGTGTGTTTTTGGGTTTTTTTGTGTGGATGGTTTCTTCCTCCTCTCTGCCAGTGTTAAATACTTGTTATTCATACTACTGTTAATATCTCAAGCAATTTAGGGACTTGGGCCATATAGTATGATTTATTTAATATAATTAAAATGCACACCTGTTCTGCAAAAGTGACTGCCAAATAGTCTAGTGTTTTATTATCATATATGACCATTTGCGTTGTTCTTGGGTATATTTATTCCATCAGCCATTTACATGGATATTTTACTTTTTTCTTGTTGTTTTATTTCTTCTAGGCTTAATTTATGAAAACGAATTGTGTGTCAAGCCTATGGACTGTCCTTGTGACTACCATGGAAATTTCTTTGAAATGGGTTCAGTGGTTTATGAGGAATGTAATAACTGGTTAGTAATTTTTCTTTTTACACTGTGGATTTAGTCCTTTCATGATCATGAGAGACAACTTCTTTAAGGCCTATTTAAGTTAAAAATTTAATAAAGTTGGTAAGTCCTCGCTGTTTCTGCATACAAAAACTTGTTCCATATATATATTTTGCAATGAAGGGAAAAGAAACTGTAGAGCTATTAATGTGGAAAAAGAGCAAATGGCAGATATTGCAGAGAATACTGTAGTACTTAGTATTCTTTCCACCTTGAACTCTGCCTCAAACGGAAAGAAATCTAGAAATCAAAATTTTAACAGGAGAATTACTTTGACTTTGTCTTCTGTTTGTGTTGTCTCACTTGGACACAAAGAACTTAATGTCATTATGACGCTAACTGCTGTTTGGGGAATTTCTAAGTTAATTTTATACATGGGAATGAAAAGTTTGTAGGAAGAGATAATGTGTTTTATTGGATCAACTTAATTGAAGAAAATGGGTGAGCTTGCAGATGTACAACTCCTTTCTTTTGCAACAGTTCTGTTTTTTTAAAATAATAAGTTTCAAATTGCTTGTGTTTATTCTTAATTTTAATAATCCTTAACTTTTATAATGGTTATTAAGGAGCTAAAAAGAAAGAAAAGTGTTACTGGATGCATGGATGAAGTTTCACCTGATCATATCTTCATGACAAGCTCTTGCCACAACTTCCAGGCATTCTAGTGACTGTGGTAGCTCTTTTGTACCCTTTTGTGAGCCTCAAGGTGCTTGGTGCTCGTTTCATAGAGAAAGAATCCAGGAAGAACAGCTGAGGGACAACCATGTATGCTTCACAAAAAAAAAAGTATGAAAACTTTGTGTTTTTATTTCAGCACTTGCATTGGAGGAAAGTGGATTTGTACAAATCTTACATGTCCAGGTATGTGAAAGTCTAAAATACTTAACTTTATTAATAACTGAATTTTTACTTGGGCTAAAATATTACTGTTAGGTCTTAAAGTGATGTTTCACTATATAATTTTGTATTTTTAGTTCTATCTACATATAAGCGCATCTACATACAGTAGATTAAATATTAAAATGATAAGAATAGCAGGCATCTGCCTTTCAGCTTAGTACAGTATTGCATCTCCCTCTTTATCACTGTAACATCTCTGGTAGATGGTACTACCTTGTAATTCTCGTAATTCAACTAAAGTTTCCTCTATCATCTTTATTTGACAGACTTATGACAAGATTACTTTTTTCCCCCCATAGTATTGTTGGATAGCAATATAGTATCTAGGTGTTGTACAAATATCAGTTAATTATTTTCACAACATTCTTCTGGAATGAGGGGTATTATTCTCACTTCACAGATAAGCAGCTAAACTACAGAGATTAACATGGAAAACCTTTTTGACCTTAAACCTCATGGTTCTTATAGCTGCCAATAGATTCAAGCACTGGTCTCAGAGTTCTCAGTTAACTGTCGGAGTGCTTAATGTTTATGCAAGTCAGTTTTTAGAGCCACAAACCAAATACCCAGAATGCAAGGATCACACATTGTTGCCTCCCTCTGGGGGAAGAATTGTTTGGGTATCCTGGCCTGGCATCAGGTAGGAACTCCATAACGAGCCAGGATAAGGTTCAGTTCCTAACCGTGTTATAAAATGTACCTGGTTGTAATATGAATACAATTTTGTAAATGATAGCATGTCTCAGTGTATGAACTCTACAGTAGTGATAACGGTTGAGAGTACTCTGTCTTTTCTACATACTAAGTATATTATTTGTTATGTTTGTCAGCGGAATGCTCAGTTTCAGGAGACATTCATTTCATGACCTTTGATGGGCGCAAGTACACTTTCCAAGCTACCTGCCAATATATTCTAGCAAAAAGCCGTACCTCTGGAGCATTTACCATATCCTTGCAAAGTGCTCCTTGTGGACAGGTAAGGTTTAGAACTTTCTTGTAATGTTTATATCCTGAAGGGTTTATTAATGCGGGGGAAAAACTATTAAAAAAATATGAAAGCTATCTGCAATTGAATGTACTAAAATTAATCTGTAGCAACAATTTTCCTTAATGGTGAAATAGTTGAACAACAGCAGTGCAGAGGAAGTCTATACATAAATTCTCATGTTTGCTTACTATAAATAGGAAGGGGTATGCTAGTATTCTGATTCAGTGTTCGTGGAGGTCATTCAAGAGCACATGGTGGTTCATGCAGCAAACGCTGGATGATGACTTGTGTTCTTGAGCTTTCTGAGTATGTCTTTGTGGATTTGCAACCAGCACGAAATAAGCCCACTGCTTATTACTGCTTGAAGGAAGAATGTCTTTTTTTGTGCGTTGAATATAGATTTATCTTTCAGCTTTGTTCTTGCAGCTTGAAATACACTTTTACTTACCTTAATATCAAAAACTTTGGATAGCTTTTGGGACAGCTCTCTTGTATTTGGGGATATGTGTGCATCTGTGTTACTGTTGTTAAGGTGATATCCTGTACAATTTATTTCAGCCAAACATGCATGTGCATATGTAGAGCTGATACTAAGGGTGTTCCTACTTCATATTTGAAAGTTTCTGATACTGTACACAGAAGTCACTAAATATGTAATCTGCTTTATGTCCAAGACCCGTTCTCTTTTTCTTTTGTTGCTGTGTATGTGGATTTCCGAGCAGGTATTATAACATTGTATGTGTGACGTATGGAACACTGGTAATGTTTTTCACTGAAGCATTTAATTCTTAGTACAGTCCTAAGTGTACATTCCTAAGGTTGTAGTTGAGGTGGGTGCTGGCCTCTTCTCTAAAGTAACAAGTGACAGGACAAGAGTAAATGGCCTCAATTTGCGCCAGGGGAGGTTTAGGCTGGATATTAGAAAAAATTTCTTCACTGAAAGAGTGATCAGGCATTGGAACAGGCTGCCCAGGGAATTGGTGGAGTCACCATCCCTGGAGGGGTTCAAGAAGCGTGTAGATGTGGTGCTTTGGGACATGGTTTTAGTGGGTTAGGTGGTGTTGGGTTGACAGTTGGACTTGATGATCCTTGAGGTCTTTTTCAACCTTAATGATTCTATGATTCTGTATTTTGACTTAGCTTATTCAGATTTTAATGAGTTTAACTGGCTTTATTCTGTGCTGTCCTTGGGATCCTTAGGAGTTGATTATCATAATCTAGAAGAAAAAATATGATAGCTGTGAAGCAAAGCATAAAAGTAGGCATTCAACATAGGCATAAATCATGTTCAGACAGCATAATATTCTCAGAACTTCGTGGATTCCAAGAAGCAAGATGTTTTTACTATATGGTTGAAGATAAAGGAGATCCAAGATAAAGGAAAGAAACACTCTAGGCAACTTTTTTATCAAATGAAAGTTGAGGTATGATTGACTTCTTGCAGAAGCCCACAGTGAGGTATCTTTCAGCCTGACCTGTTGAAAAGCCTGTCAACGGACAACAGAGGTCTGCAGCAAATACCCGCTGTGGTAGTGCAGGATATGTATTGTCGGACTCATTTCCCTTTGTGTTACAGAACACTTATCTCTGTGCAAAACAGACAGAACTGTGCCTTCTGGTTTAGTTGTTGTGGTGATACATTTGCTGGGGAAAGTGATAATCAAATGACTTGGCTTTGTGCAGCATGTGTGAGACTGCAAAGAGTCTTGCAGTAAATCTTTTATCTTCTTCACCCTGAGTTAGGGACTTTGTTTAATGTGTCTCTGCATCCAAGTGGTTTGTAGGTGAAAAACCAGAGTCTCTTGGATTTTACTATATTGGTCTTCGTATTTCACCGACCCTTTAACAAAGCTGGCCTGATCAGTCCCTAATAGGTATAGACTTTTACAGAGGTTTGAATGAAGCATTCTGGACATTTGGGTGATCAGAGTTATATATAATGTGTTCCAGGGCTACATGCTGCTAATTTAATTATCAACATACAAGTGGTGAGAGGTTAGTGAGAACAGTTTGTGTACTATAATGCAAGAACGTGGGCCTTCACTGCAGCTGTTCAAGTGTCTAAATATCAGCCAGATGGTGCCATATAGCAGAAGAGCTGCTTTACCATTCCCTAGGCACCATCCATTATCATTTTCCCCTTTATAAAAATTAATGAATTAAAATGGGAAGCTAGAAGATTTGTAGTGCAGAATCTCATATTTCTTGATGGTTTAAGATTTCATGTGCTTTTTTTTTTTAAAAAAAAACAAACCACTTATCAGTCCCATCTCATTCAAGAAGATTAAAAATGTAGAAAGAAAATACCTGGGGAGATTTTAGCTCTCAGAATCACAAAGAATCCAGTCATCTAGAGCCTTAGAGCTGGTGACATAAACAGTCATCAGACAACAAGTTATTTCAAAATGATGTGAAATTTTGTTTAAGCACTTCTGGAAAGAGAATCAGTCAAGTGATCAGCTGAGCTTAACCTTATCTGAGTTTCAGATGACAGCCCCACTCGCTTTGTAGTCTGTATGATGAGAAGGGCTTCTGAATATAGAATTTTTTTTAAAGTGTCTAGTGAGAGAAATGGCCTTTCCTGTGAAAACGCCTGCTGAAAGTTGGCAGGGGTAGTGCTGTGAAAGAAGCAGTTCATTGGAACAGAGAGTAATTGTCAGGCAGAATTTCTCCTTTAGTTTCAGCGTGAAGGAATAATAAAGCTTTTGTCAATATTGTGTAGTAATGTATATACTACGGAGGATTGTGTTCTTAGCTCTGGTCTGCTATACATACCAACTGGTATTCTTTTATTTTCAGCTTAATGAAAGGTTGACTAAATTCTCAATTTTTAGCTCCTATTGCTGAATTCTGTGCACAGAAGCCTGATTTCTTAGAAAAGAGGCAAGACAACAAGATAATCTACAAGAGCATGCCTTCACAATGCAGATGTCTGTCTACACTGTCAGTCCAGGAGAGCTGGTTGAGCTGATACCTCCACTTGTTTTTATAATTCACTCTTTTAAAGTTTCATTTTATCATTTTGATTGTTGGTGAGCAATCACTGTTGCACTATTATTTAAAGATGGGGAAGTTCTTAATGTAGTTTTTAATCTTTACACACCACTATGTGGACTTGTGTGTCCATGGCACTTGAAGGACTGACAAATGATCTGTTCTGTGCTAGTTCAGCATCTGTCAAAGCCACGTGGTAGTGTTCAGAGATCCTTGCAGCTCTGGTAATTGTTTTCAATGAGTAGGACAACGTTTGCCTTCTATTAGGCAAGTCTTGATGAAAGTTCTAACCTGTTTGCTCTGTGAATGGTGCTATTCACAGGATAATTTTGCTTTTAGTGCAACTATCCAAAGGTAGGGATATTTTAACTAAGTCTTGTTCAATGCCTCTTTTGGCACTGAAGATGCTTAGTATTTTACTATTTCATCATCAGTTATGCCTTCACTGTAGGAAGTGGGACTGAGAAGTGCAGCTTAATGCACCTCAGCTAAACGTTTCTGATCTGCAGCTCAGAGCCAGAGACAATCAATGAGAAATTTCCTGCAGCGAGACCTAGGCTGCTCTTTTACCAAGGGATTTCAGACGTGTCTGTGTATGTTTGGGTATATAAGATATTATGAAACATAGAAGATGCATAATCAAGGTGAGAGTAAAATGAACAGTGTGTCAAAAGTGCGGGACCCAATTTTTGCCATAGTTCCTGAATACATTTTAAATCGTTAAAAGGTCTTGCAGTGAATGAGGCTGAACAAAAGTAACAGCAGCTGGGTGCTTCCCCCTTTCCTCTGTAGATGGCAGGGAGCAGGCAGTCTCTTAATTTTATCCAACCACACTAAGCCAATGTAAATAAAGTGATATCTCAGAAGATATAGTAAAGAGATCTGAGTATAACAGGAGTGACAGAAACTTAAGTTCTTCCTACAGCAAAGAGAGAGTAGAAGGTGGACTGTGATTCTTAAGTCTTTCAGCATGTATCAAAGTGAATTACAGGATGCTGGCATGGTAAAGTTTGTCATCTCTCAATTCACTTCAGTGCGTGATTCTCTGTGATAGAATTTTTCTTTTTTTTAAAAAAAATTCTGCAGTGATCAAATTAATTCTATTAAGAAAAATCAGGTAATCATCTTTGATTAACAAACACACTTTAATGAGCATTCTTTCC